CACGCCCACCACGCTCACCCATACACGACATCACCATACACGACGCCACCGCAGCACACACCGCCACAACAGGCTCCACCGTCACAGCCGGAGTTCCCACCCCCACCGCCACCACCACTGCCCACAGCCGACCCAGTCACCCTACAAACACAGCCCACCACCGGCACCAGCTGCCCGCGCCGGCACTGCGCCTGCTCCACCGCCACCTCACATCCCTTCTCCCACTCCGCCACCCCAAGACTCTTGGAACCAAACCGATCACCATTGGGATTCCAACACACTCCACGGCCACCAGCTCTACCGCACAATCCAACCTACACAATGGTCTCGCAAAGCAGGGGTGGCAGGGCTTCCAACCTTCGACGTCTTCCCCTGGCAATTGGCGTACCATGGTACGGCCGAATTCACAGCCCGCACTCTTAGCAACGGAAAATACACGGGTTTTATTGCCACCAGAAGTATTGCGGAGTCTGTGTTCGTTACCCACCTTCTCCAAGAGCTCCGCGAGAAACGCCTCGACTTAGACGGCATCGCCGAGACCCTCCACACAAACCAAGGAACCGATATCCCCAGCAAGACAACACAGGCCCGGGCTTTCCACGCCCCCCTGATCAACCTACTCATCCAACAACTCCAATCCCCACCGATGAGCTCGCTCGCGCAAAACAGAAGCTCCACAGCCTGGGCGAACCCCTCACTCCAGTGAAGAGCACCAGCCACCCCTCCGCCCCGGCAGCCCCCTCACGTCCACCCACTCCACCAGCACACAAGCCACCTGTACTTTCCAACGTCCTGAAACCTCCACACCCAGCTTTGAAGGATGACATTCCGGACAGCTGGAACCACACTGACCTCCAACACTGGGTCACCACCTTCGACCCTACCATCCAGGAAGCAGCTAACGAAGTTTTGCGCTTGCTACAAACCAGCAAAGTCACTACCCAGCAGTTGAAAGAGGCCGCCGCACGCTACGGTCTCCCCCTCAACCGGGTCAATCGCCTCCCCATACGGAGCTTGCAACACCTGGTGAGTGTGGGGGCAGCCATCGGCTGCTGACTCGCTGTCCTCAGCCAGCAGCAACCCAGCCACACAACCCTACAACACCTGTTCCACTTACACCGAGCACTTTCCATTTTGATCCACCACACTCAATACATCGACCGCGCCGAAGCCATTTTTGCCACCGGTCTTATCCACATCACCTTACTTTTTGCATATCCCTCCAACACCCACCGCTCACAACAGTATCGCAATCGTCTTCGCCAGCTCCACATCCTACCCCACACTTACCACTACCACAACTTCCTCTCATCTAACTCGGTTTACATCAAGCTCCACTTCAACCCTGACCCACCCCAACGCTGCTACCACCAACATGGCCACTTCTACGCGGGCTCCACCGCTATTGGCATCCCCCACCGAGAGCATAACCGCCGTGCCAAACTCAAACAACTACAGAACAACATCCCCATTTCCGCTGAGCTTTCCCTACACTACTGGCATTCCCACAACAATATCCACCACTACACCACCATCCAGCTCACATCCCACGACACCTACGACCAAGCCTGGATCCAGGAACACCACTATATCGCCAACTGGATGCCTACCCTCAACTGGCCTTTCATCTCGCACCACCTCAAACTCAAAGCTCAAGGATGGCAGTTCACAAAGCATCGAGCGCACTTTTACTCCAGATTAGCCACTCACAAACGACTCTTCCAACGCCTTCGTCAACGCCAACACACCCTCAGAGAACCACACCTCTACACCTCTACCAAGCATCACGCTCTTACGCTCCTCCGCAACCTTACCAAACATACAGCAGCTTCCTTCGAAGCAGCCAAACAACTGCGCAGTGGCCAACACACTGATCTTGAAGTCTACGCCATCCGGCGCATGGCCGCCAATCTCGAAGAACCTGGTCGCAGTCGAGCTCTCCACATCATCAATAAAGCCCTCCTTTATCGCAACCTCACACCACCCAAACCCAACATCCCATTAACAGTGCCTTTTCTGGCCCACGACGACTTCACCAAGCATTGCCAACAGTGGCTCCGTACCACTATACAACACCACAAGCACCTTGCTATCCCCCTGCACCTCCCTTCACACCGCCTCCGTGAAGCTGCACACAAAACTCTACGATCCCAACTACACAATCACCGCGCCTGGGAGGACACCCTCCATTCCCCGCCAGATCCAGCGGACCTCCCCTGCGCATGCCACCATCTCCGAACTCTACTGCAGGATCCTGATACACCCACCATCAATGGCCACTACATCCCCACACTTGATCAACTTCACCTCCCCACACACCTCAGCATCTTTCTCAACGCCAACATGAACAGCACCTACTATCCAAGCAAGGCTCGTTACTTCCTCATTTTCCAGACAGCCTACACGAAATGGCTCAAGATGCAGGGGTTACCGCCGTCCCTCGTGGAGCACTTACACCCGTTCCTCGAACACCAATGGCGCCTTCGCACTACACACCTTAAACAACAACCACGATTCACAGCGCGCCTGCTTCGCCAGCTCCAAGAATACCTCGGCCAAAACACAGTACTTCACCATGCCGATCATGAGCTTCAACAACTGCGACTGTTCTGCCCCCGCCAATACTTCACTGGCGCCTTGAACACATGGCAATCCCCCGAACTTTTCGAACCACTTCCCTACCTCGCCCAGCTTACGCACCCGCTACAAATGGGGTTTCCGCAAGGATTTCAGTATCCCCTACGGTGTGGTCCACCTAAAAGAGAAGAAGCAGTGGCAGAAAGGCCGCACCATTATTTCCTATTTCCGTTCACTCAGCGGCAACCTACTCCGCATCACCAGCCGCGCCCTCGACATTATCCTTCAACACCTTTATCCCCAACACCCAGGACAACTGTCCATTCCACAACTCTGGCACCACTTCCACAGCTACCTCACCCAAACCCCGGCAGACATATCCCTGCACGCCACCAACGACGGCTTTTTCAACTCTGTCCCCCAACACAGACTCATTGATGCCGTTCACTCTATGATTCACCACTGGCAACAACAGCATTCCACCCACACCATCACAGTGGATGTCCAAGCCACCGGCAACCCCTTTCACCACTCCCACATCGGCAAACACCACCGCAAGCATCCCACACACTTGCATTTTCCGGGCTTGCAACAACACCTACAAGCAAATCCGAGGAGCTGGGATTGGCTCCCAACTCTCTCCAGCCCTCTGCAATGTAGCCATTACACTCATCGAACACTCCTGGCACCAGATCCACAACAACCTCCTGCAACATACAAGCCTACATTTCACCTACTACCGATATGTGGACAACCGCTTCATTGTTCAAAACGAACATTTCCTACACCATCCCGCCATCCAAACCCTCATCGACTTCTTCGGCGACCCAGTGGAACTTGAACCTGTGGACGACTTCCACCTCCTGGGTTTCAACATCGACCTCCAACAACGCACCATCACCTACATGCAACCTTCCCAACCCTGGAAAATCAGGGATTCCACCACCGCCGGGAGCCAGCGCTTGGCTCTGTCAGGCCTCCAATCCAGACTTCACACCATTCGAAAATACACATTTCCACCCTCCAGCGCTGAAGCTGCTGCCGCCGAGCTAGTGAGGCTCTATGTCCAAAAAGGACACAACCACCACGCCTGCCACCGGTTTTTGAAAACAGCGCCGAAGACGGCGACCTGTGTGTGTCCACCCCTGGACAAAGGGTTTCTTACCGCCAATTTTCCACCCCAGTTCTACAGGCAGGGGGGCAGAGAGGACTTGCAAGGCTCTGCCCAACGAAGCTCTTTGCAAGATCCCAGGAGCGGAAGCTGATCACTTCCGTGTACCTGCTTGTTCTTCCACAAGCTGTTACTCGACTCCACTTTTCCACTTTTTGATTCATGGTCCTTCATGTTTCCACCCCCGAAACCTCGGTTTTGCAGCTGAGTTGCGCCGCTTGTTCACCACCGCTGAGCTCTGCAGTCACGCACAAACGGCTTGTTCAACCTTTCAAGTGAACTGACTTTCTCACCACGCCGTTCCCTCACCATTTTCGACCTGGGAATTGAGTGTAACTGAAAACCAATTTCAGAGTGTGTCCACCCCTGGACAAAGGGTTTCCTACCGCCATTTTTCCACCCCAGTTCCACAGGCAGGGGCACACGGCATCCATGACCTACCGTGTGCAACGAAGCTGCGGTCATGGATGGGAAGGGAAGGTTGGTCACCTTCCTGTACCTGCTCTCAACACACCGACTCCAATGGTCCACCCTGCCGCTGTTCGTTGCTTCCATGTCTCTTCATGCTACCACCCCCCAAACAGGTTTCTCAGCAACTTTCAGCAGCCGCGCTTTTTTGCAGCTTGTCGCCGCAGTCAAGTATGAAAACCATTTTGTTGAAACATCTACAATTACGCTGACTTTCCACCTTACCGTTGAGCCATTCCTTTCCTCGGGGAATTGAGTTAACTGAATACAATTGTCAGAGTGTGCTCAAGAGTGCGGAAGCTCGTGCAAGTTCACGTATTCACCCTCGTCTTGTTCCACTTAACACTGTTTGGGGTCTCTTGCCGGGATAATGAGGCACTCTCGAATCAACAATCAGACTTGCGTTTTGGCTTCATAGATCTTTTGGCCTTCTACGTGTCAAGCATCCAAAAAGACTCGCTAGGTACCTTCGGGCAATGGTTGGCCTTGCTGTCGATATCAAGCAGGTAACCATGTCAGTTTCACTGTATTGGTACCGTCATTCTACACGTTGAACTGACATTGTCTGCAAGATCCTGCAAGCATTGATATCTTGAGCCAAATAGTTTTTGTTGGGAAGGAACGGCTTCGCATGCCTACAACCTTCAAGTGCGGCCGCACCCTCATTCTGTGCAATAAGAGTTGGTTTTCTGGGTAATCCACCAGGATTGAATGTGGGAACCAACAGAACTGAGAGCACTTGCATGAAGAGAACACCCTTAGAATCGTCCCTTTTTCAGAGATACTAACCTCTGTGCTGCGTCCACTGAGAACCTCAGCGGTGCTCGATGCTCCAGATTGCTTTTCAGACTCGTTTGGCAAAGGAAATGAGCTCATCTCAAAATAATAGTAGGGCTACCTAGGTCTGTTACAGTATATTACTGTAGGTACGATAAACCCAATGCGAAACACCCTAGTCTTGATCTGTTCGATCTATTTACACGGATCTACACGCCTGCGAATGGAGAGGCACCGAACGGGGAGGCCGTGGCTTGGCCACCTGTGACATTGGTGTTCGACTGCGGGACGGACACAAGGGCGGTCGCACACGTGACTTGGGTCCCACACCAAATGGTGATGCGCCAAAAGGAGATGGCTGGCATGGCTGGCATGGCTGGCATGGCTGGGCTCCTAGAAAAGCGCTATAAGTTGTACGCTCGATTGGCCACTCCTAAGCGGAGGAAATCGGAAAAGAATGGAAAAGAGCATCGAACGAACCACAGCCTCCTCCAAATGGAGATGCTGCTTGCCTCGATCTCGGCTTTGCTTAATGCTTCCTACTAACGCTACTTGGCAGGTGGAGACGATGAACATCGAGGTGGATGTGGTGGTGTCCCAAATGCCAAAGGAGCCACCAACAACCAGGAAACAACGTTCAACATCTTGTGTCAAAGCTTGGCGTCCAAATGCCAAGTGCGCCACCCACCAAAGGGGCTTGGAGATGCACCTGCTGCAGCAAACGGGGAGGCAGTCGCCCCGCCTGAAAAAGAGGTGTCAAGCAAAAGCCCGCTGTGTTCCACTTGAGATGCAAATGCATACTAGTAGATTCTAGCTTCTAGTAGCGATGCCCTTGTTACTACTTGGCCTCCGAAGGCTGAACCAGTTTGCTGAGCAAGCGCGCCAAAGCCACCGCCTCCCATGCCTGACACACTGGCACTTGGACTTTGGTCGGACGAGGTCTCACCATGCCTGCTCCTCCACCGAAGGGAGAGGCATTGGAGCTGCCGAACGGAGATGGTGAAGGTGGTGTCCCACCGAAGGGACCGCCCAAGGCACTCGGGTTGCCGAAGGCTGGCTGTCCCATCGGCTGACCCATGGGTTGGCCGCCCATGGGCTGTCCACCCATTGGATTCATGGGTTGACCCATGGGTTGACCCATCGGTTGACCCATCGGTTGGCTCATCATGCCAAAGCCTCAAAGAATTGTTCAACAGTGCAAACAAGCTCGTGCAAAAAACAGTGCCTCCATTCCCAGTCATCGATCCTCCAAGGGCTCCTACAAGAGCAATAAGATCAACCAAATGCTCCAAAGGAGCAAAAGGAGTCAAAGGAGCGTGTTGAAGCATGAAAAGGACGTCCTCCAGCTTGGCCAAAAAGGCCTCCACCACACTGTCCACCAGGTCTGATCTCCGGTTCAGGCTGGACCTTGTACTTGTTGCCTCATGACTTGTAAGGTGATACACCTGGGAATATCGCAACAATGATATAATATGTAATACTGAATAATGTAATATATACCATTTGTATAAATATCAGAACAAATCTCAAGATCCAAGAGAGCCGAGAAACATATCTTCAAGTACATAGTGTGCTCCTGGCCCACATATTTCGCCATGAGAGAGTCGATCTCGTTCCTCGGGCAAGTGAGATGCAAAAGCAGGTTGATCTGTTTGAGCAGTTTGGTGAGCTAGGGTGGAGAGTCAAGGTGTGCACTCTTCTTTTTGAAGTTGTCAAGTTGAAAGTTTGTAAGCACAAAAAAAGGAATGGGACCAAGGACACGTCGCAGGAAAAGCATGTTCTTATATAACTCAGCAGAGCTTCACTTTGCTGGGGTTGTGCTGCATGTAGATCTTGATCATGCGCTCCTTGTACGCCTCAACGAAGTAGCCAAACAGGATGCCCCAGCAAATTAGTTGAACATGCTGCCGAGTCACCAAGTTGCAACTAGGCTTGATTTATTGATTGAAGCTATCTAGTGGAGAACTACAACGCACAAAATGCGTTCTTCTGAAACTTACATCTATAATAGTTACCAATATAACTATTTGGTCACGGGCGCCCTTGTCGCCTGGTACAAAATGAGGCCTGTGTTGTAAAACCCCTCGTAAGCGGAGCGGAGGGTTCATAGAACATAGTGAGGAAATGCAGGTTCAAAAGCTCTTCGTTTTCATCGATGCGGACCGCGTATGTTTGACTCTTGATCGGCCACTGTCTCGGATCACTTGCATCAGAGCTCCCAGCACATCTTTTGGCGCTGACTCTTTCAGTTCTCTTCTGCAAGCAAACTGCCAGACTCGTCTTTCAATGGCTGGGCCATGCACGGATACTTTCACTTTGACCTCTCTCGGCAAGTGGGTAGGAATGAGGTTTTTCATTTCCTGCCAACTGCCACGCTCGATCTATTTGCTGGGTCCCTGCCGTCGAAGACTGTTGACGTGGCACGACCGATGAAAAACCACAAGAAAAACACAAGACGAACCTACTTGTAAGCTTCCAATACGCGTCGCCCTCGCCATATCTGTACTTTTACAAAAACATTACAGTACACAACATGTTGTGAAACCGACGACAACCGATGACGTTATAAAACCGATGACAACCTGTGGTGAAGCCGATGACAATTTAATGAACCCCACCACCCAGCTTTAAACACATGACTCATCGATGACACTGTTATGACACCGATGACAATGTTATGAAGCCGATGACAGCCTGTGGTGAAACCGATGACAATTTCGTGAAATGGAACATACCCCCCCCTTCCCCCACCCCATTTTAATCACACTACTAATCGGTAACAATGCTATGAAACCCATGACAATGTTTAGAAACCGATGGCAATGTTATGACACCGATGACAACCTGTGGTGAAACCGATGACAATGTTATGACACCGATGGCAATGCTGCTGTGAAAAAAGTGAAGCGTGCGAAAACACCAGGCGACTGATCAATCCGTGGGCAACTATTTTGGGTGATGTTATGTACAACATCTTGCAGCTTGCAATGAGATTTTCTGACCGCCACCCCGAAGCAACGGAACTCTCCCTAGCCTGTCTCACGTCCAAACCACCAGCGGGCGCTGCAGCCCCACCGAATCCACCACCTGGAGCTGCAAAGATGCAAGGTTCCCAGCATCATATTCCAGACCCAAAGAAAGAAATAAAGCAGAAAGAAACGTCTAATAGTGATGGCCTCCAACCTAATAGTGATGGCCTCCAACCTAGAAGCGATGGCCTCCAACCTAATAGATTCCCAGCATCATGTGTACAGATAGTGGCCTCCCATTCCAGACCCGAAGAGGCCCCCAGAGGATGCCGCAGCACCCATGCCAACACCTTATGATCAATCAAGTCAGGTGAAGCTAGAAATGACAGTCGTTTCTGAAGATTTTAGGAAGTGTCCATCTGCTTCAATACCACGGCACCACTTCCAAATGGCGAGGCTGATGCAGAACCAAAGGGAGACGCTGACGCAGCGCCAAATGGAGACGACGACGCCGAAGAACCGAAGAGGCCCCCAGCTGGTGCTCCACAGGCACCGCAGGCTCCACAGCTAGCACCTCCGAAGGGCCCAGCGGGCCCAGCTGCACCGCTCCCGAAGCCCGAGCCGAAGCCAGAGGGGCTCGGACCCGAAGCAGGGCTTCCGAAGCCGAAGCCTCCAGAGCTGAAGCCAGAAGCTCCACCAAAGGGTGATGCACCTAAACAGGGGAAAGGATGAAAGCCTGGTCAAACGCAAACAGAACAGAACAGAACAGTTGGTTCATGAGAGCTATATACTTGATTCCTGTTCAATCTATATACATGGAAAACAACATCATCCAACCGGACAAAATTCACGAGGCCTGATGAAGGACTGCCAAACAAACCCCCAGCAGACGGAGCTGCAGC